CCCTCATGGTCTCATAGGCTTTTTCTTCTGTGGATGCTATTGCCTGCCCTACTTGAGAAATATGGGTATTATTCCATGTGTTGTTGTCCACTAAAATCGTCTGATTCGCCATAGCTATAATCTGGTAGCCATAATTCCACCATGACATGACCTTTGCGTCCTCTGGGGTATTGTGACGAAGCCAATAGTATGCTTCTCGGAAGTCATCAAAAGTGATCCTACTGCCATCCCCACCACGAGCAGACAGCACAAGAGTAGTCCTCACTGGTCACCCAGATTGGATGAAAGGTGTAGGTGATGAGAAAGAAAGCCATGACCAATATCATTCTACTTGCCACTTCATTCTTAATAGGGTAGGTAGAATCCTGTTGCTTCTTGCTCTTCTTGTCTGGACGACTTATGTCTAGATTCTTCATGTAAGTGGACAGCACCTGGGAGACGCCAATGCCAGAAAGAATGCACATAACAGGTGCCAACACTAGCATCAGATGCACCATTACAGCTGAAAAGTGCATGCTGGTCACATTGTACATGATGATGAAAATCCGGGCATCAGACAGGTTGCTAAAGTAGTAATACAGACCAACTGGAAACATGAAAAGAAGCTGCACGTCAAAATAGTACAAAGACCAGGTCGTAGGCTGATGCTCAGACACAGAAGCAATGAAGGGTACGTTGTTCTTCGCATAAGAAGGATCCAGCAGTGAGTAGAAACAACCCATCCAGGGGGATATTTTTCCTGTCAGCATGAGGAGAGCTCCCATGGTGAGAAGGACAAAGCCTTCCAGGGAGATGACACTTCAGAAAAGAACTTCAAATTGCTGTGGGTTCAACTTGCTGTGCAGATAATCCCCAAAGGCATGGATCTGGCAGAGACCAAAGACTCCAAAGGCTGCCATGTGCTCAGATGAAAGGACAGGCTGGAAACTGACAAAGGAGATCTGCATGGAAAGAATGGTGCCCAGGCAGTAAACAGTACAGTAGTCCCAGTAGTCCCCATAGATCCGGTGGTAGAAGCGTCCTGTGAGCATCAGCACCAGTACGTAGAGAGGGATCTAGTTGATCAGGAACACATAACCTCCCCATGAAGAGACCATGTAGAAATAAGCCAGGGTACACTTGGCTGCCCAATAGATGGGACCCATCTTTACTGCTTTGATCCACATGTAGTAGGTGAGTAGCATGCAAAAGATGGCAATTCCTTCATTATCATAGGAGCCAGCCACAGATTGGGAGATATATACAGGAACTACAGCAATCATGGCAGCAGCAAGAAGTCCAGCCCCTGCATCCTTGAACTCTTTGATAAGGTGGTACATGATGATGGTGGTGAAGGAAGAGAAGAGAACACACAGACATTTCAAATTTTTGTGGAAAAAATGGAGTACATGGTAGATTGCAGCAGAGGTGATCATTAAGTCTGGGTAAATTGTTCCTCCAACGATTTGGCCCAAAGGGTATCAAGCCTGGTTATCAAACCAGTTATGGAATTTATAAAATCCCTCCTCAACCAGGAACCAGGTAGTCCGATAAAGTGTGGATCAAACTTATGGATGACACTTTCAAATCTCAGGACAGCAAAGAGACGAGTGGAGAATGATAACACAGCAGACATTGACAGAATAAGAAGTTTCAGAAGTGTGTCCTGCTTCTCATAGGACAACCGCAAAAATCCCAGCTTAGTCATCTTGACATCAAGGAGTGGCAACAGATGACAGCTGCCGCTAATTGTTAAGTTCTATCCCACGGCCTTCCCACCTGATCGGCGTTTCCCAAGAATCCCTAAAATTAATTGTTATTGAGGTATAATTGACATACATTATATTAGTTTAAGGTATACAACATAATGATTCAATATTTGTATATATTGTGAAATGATCACCACAAATCTACTTAACTTTGCCACCATACATAATTATAGAATTTTTTTCTTATGATGAGAACTTTTAAGGTTTATTCTCTTTGCAACATTCAAACATGCAATACAGTATTAACTGTAGTCACCATACTGTACATGACATCCCCTAGACTTATTTATTTTATAACAGGAAGTTTGTACCTTTTAACCCCCTTCACCCACTGTGTCAATCCCCCACCCCTGCCTCTGGAACCACCAATCTGTTCTCTGTGTCTATGAGCTTGTTGTTATTGTTAGGTTCCATATATAAGTGAGATCATATGGTATTTGTCTTTTTCTGTCTGACTTAATTTACTCAGCATAAGACCCTCAAGTTCCATCTACGTTGTCAGAAATGGCAAGATTCATTCTTTTTATGGCTGAATAATATTTCGTTGTATATGTATATGTACACTACACGCACACACACCACGTTTTCTTTACTTAATGTACTGTTGAATTTGGTTTGCTAATATTTTGTTGAGGGCTTTTGCATGTTTATTGGGTATATTGGCCTTTAATTTTCTTTTCTTGTGGCGTCCTTGTCTGGTTTTGGCATCAGGGTAATGCTGGCCTTGTAAAATTAGTTTGGAAGCGTTACCTCCTCTTCTGTTTTTTGGAAGAGTTTGAGAAGGATTGGTGTTAATTCTTTAAATGTCTGGTAGAATTTCTATCAGTGAAGCCACCTGGATCTGGATTTTTCTTTATTGGGAGGTTTTTGATTACTGATTCAATCTCCTTACTTGTAATCAGTGTGTTCAGATTTTCTATTTCTTCATGATTCAGTTTTGGTAGGTAGTATGTTTCTAGGAATTTATCCATTTCTTCTAGGCCATCTAATTTGTTGGCATATGATCCTTTGTATTTTGTCTCTTCTAGGCTATCCAATTTGTCTCTTATGATCCTTTGTATTTCTGTGGTTATCAGTTGTAATGTCTCCTCTTTTATTTCTGATTTTATTTGTTGAGTCCTCTTTTTTTCTTGGTGAGTAGCTAAATGTCAATTTTATCTTTTCAAAAACTAATTCATAGTTTCATTGATCTTTTCAGTCTGTTTCATTTATTTCTTCTCTGATCTTTGTCATTTCTTTCCTTCTATTAACCTGTGACTTCGTTTGTTTTTCTAATTTCTTGAGGTATAAAGTTAGATTGTTTGTTTGAGGCTTTTATTTCTTGAGGTAAGCCTATAGTTCTGTGAACTTTCCTCTTAGAACTGCTTTTGCTGCATCCCATACATTTTGGTATGTTGCATTTCCAGTTTCCTTTGTCTCAAGGCATTTTTTTTTTTAAGATTTTATTGGTGAATTGGGGGAGGGGAACAGCGTTGGGGAATCGGGGGAAGGGGAACAGACAAGTTGCTGTCCTTTTGTTATTCAGTCTAGTTGTGGAGGACGTTGCTTCACTGGCCCATGTTGGTATTATCATTGCGCTCTTCCTGGGTAAGGCAGATCGGTCGCCGGCCTCTGGACGGCCGCTCACAGCAGCTCTTGGCAGCTCACATCAGCTGCCAGTCACTCACGCTGGCTGCCGGCCACACACGGTAGCTTATGGCAGCCCACTGCCTACGCTGTCCTCGGCGACTCATGGCAGCCCAGCTCCAGGTCGAGCTGTTGTTCACCATCTTAGCTGCAGAGGGCAGTGTCACTGACCCTCATGTGGGATCCGAACCGGCGGCCCTGCTGCTCTTAACCAACACGCCATTCGGCCAGCCCTCAAGGCAGTTTCGATTTCTTCTTTAACCCACTGATAGTTCAATACTTGCCTGTCTTTTCTGATGGGTAGTCACTATGAAAGAACCTCTCTTTCCTCCGTGGTCCAGCTGCTTTGGAGGGTGACTGTGTCTTCTACAGGGTCAACAAAGGCCACCTGCCTGTTGCTGAACAGAGCGCTTGTTTATCTTCTGGGAGAACTGGGCACTAGTGCCAACAGCGGAGGTGTGATGAGGGGAAGGTCCGGGAGCCACTTCACTGACCTCTCCTTCCTGTAAACTTCAGCCTGAGGACAGGCCTGGGAGCAGCCCGTGGGGCCAAATCATTGGTGGACCTGAAGTTGCTGATCACTCTCCCTGATAATTAATTGCTGGGGAAGAGGTCCATCTGGGCAGCAGGCAGAATAATTGCTGAGGCCATAAGGGAGATAGGTGGTCCCCAGGATCCAGTCCTCCTGTAGCGTCCTAGAAATGCAGAGTGCAGGATGGGGCCTTAGAGACTCCATGTATAGGACTGTATTCATATTTGGGGACCCAGTGGGAGGTTTGCTTACATAATAATTAGAGCGAAGCCACCTTGACTCCCAGCTGCCTCCTCTCTAGCTCCACCCTGTGATTTTGCCTGTTTATACCACCCCCGCCTCCCCCTCCCCACCTACTCTGTTCATTCACCATTGTATGTGGTGCACGTGGCAGTGACCTGGGGGCCGGGCAGCTGGGGTGTTGGAGATAAACACAAGCAGGAAGGGCATTTGTTAGAGCCGTCTGTTCACTTTGCCCCACTGTTAGCTGTTGAAGGTTGAGTGTAGATGTGATTAATTTGAAAAATAAAATAAAAATTGAAGGTTTGAAAGTCTGTGCCTCGGTAGAACTGGGGAAGCAGGGGTGAGGGTGCAGGTCACCCTTTCTTGGCCTTGGCTGGGTTGCTGGACACTGTGAGAGCACCCCTAGGGCCAGGCTATGGGCACTGGGCTGTGCTCCCTCCTCGACTGTCCTCAGGCTTCCTTTGGCAGCTCCTCCTGTCTTTTCAGCATCCTTCTCCTCTGCCTTCTTGTGTCTGCTGTGGGCTCTGAAGTTGTGTGTGATGAGTTTTAGACTTGGAGGAAGGCCTGTGCTGGGTCAGGGAGTCTCCTGGGCTGCCAGGGCTCTTTCTGCTTCTTGAGGTGTTTGAGGTATATTTGATGGAAGAGGTTGCTTCCAGCAGGACTGTGTGGTCCACCCAGACAAGATTCAGGATGTGCGGGAATCCCTGCGGGGCTGAACTGAGATCCCCTGTCATTCCTTGTCCTCAGAATTGGAGCCTCAGGGAGCACAGAGGCCTGTTCCCGCCTCCACCCTCACCCCGGGAGTCTCCCAACACACATCTCACATTGCCTTGTTTCCTTTCCCCGTTCAGGTCGCAAGATGGGAACAGAAAACCCGAAAGCTGAGTGGGGCCTTCGGCTCCCCCTACCTGGCCTGCTACGCGCTGGGTGGAGCCATCCTGTTTCTGAATGTACTGCGCTCGCACTGGTAAGTCCGCCCAGGCTGGGCCACCCAATAAAGAATCTGGGACACGGCGGTGCGGGGAGACCACTGCTGCGGGTATCAGGGCCCATCAAGACGTGAAGTATTGTGTCTGAATGCCCAGGGATTCTGCTCTCCAAGGCCTCATGCCGCCCTTTCCCTTTCTGGGCCATTAGACTCCTGTCACAGAGGAGTCCTCTTGGCCTCGGGAAGGGACAGTGCTACCTGCCTGGGACCCAGGCCCAGAGGACAAGGCCTGAGTGGCCCCCAAGCTCACATCCTGGCCTAGCGAGTAGACAGAGCCTCTGTAGAAGTCCCCTCCAGGAAGTTCCAGGCAGGAGGCAGGAGGCAGGAGACCCCTGGGAGCGGGGCCTCACCCAGACCTGGGCTGGTATCAGCGAGCTGCTCGGTCCACCTCTGGACTTGGGATGTGTTACCTTTCTGTCATCAGAGAAAGAGGGCAGGGTGGGTGAACTTGTTCTAGATGACAAAGCACCACCCACAGGACACAGGAGCACACATTACTGCCCAGATGCAGGGCAGGGTGCCCTGGGGTGGGCAAGGCTGTGGAGAGAAACAGTGGGATCAAGTAGTTAGATGTGGCATGCCTAGAGCAGCCTGTCCCTGAGCCTAGTTCTCCCCTCCTGGGGTTCTGTGAGAACCATCACAGCGGCACATTAGCTCACGGACTGAACGTGCCTGGACAGTGCTTTAAAACTGAGAAAAGGTGGGCCAGCCGAGTGGCGCGTTGGTTAAGAGCTGGCTTGGGACGCCAGAGGGCCCCGGTTCAAATCCCACATATGAGGGCCAGTGACACTGCCCTCTACAGCTAAGATGCTGAACAACAGCTCAACCTGGAGCTGGGCTGCCGTGAGTCGCCGGCGACGGCATAGGCTGCAGCCCCTGTGGCAGTGGGTTGCCATGGGCTACCGTGTGTAGCCAGCAGCCAGCGTGAGCGGCCAGCAGCCGCAGTGAGCGGCCGTCCAGAAGCCGGCGACTGATGTGCCTCGCCCGGGAAGAGCGCAATGATGGTGCCAACTTGGGCCAGTGAAGCAACGTCCTCCACAACTAGACTGAAGAACAAAAGGACAGCAACTTGTCTGTTCCCCTTCCCCCAATTCCCCAATAAAAATCTTAAAAAAAAAAAAAATGAGAAAAGGCATGTGAGACTCCCAGTCTCCACACATGGGAGCCAGCACTGGGGGCTGAGTCTCAGCTGCTCCTTGGTCCTGCCCCACCCCTGCAGGCACGGAGGTGCAGTGAAGCATGCACCTGGGAAGTGGGCCTCTGTAGATGCCAAGGGCAAGGTCATGGATGTTGACTGAGCCCCTCACACTTAATTTCATACTCATAGTCACACACTGAGAGGCGTGGCGCAGCCTCTCTTCTTGCTGTCAAGGAAGTGTGGTCAGGAGGGGCCCTGCCAAGGCCCCCTTTTCACTCTGGACCTTTGACTCCTGCACCTCGTGGCCTTTCAGACTGTCTGTCATCTCTTCACTTCTTTGCTCCAGGCCAGGATGGGTATCTCAGGGACCTTGGTGGGACCCATGGCACCTGCACTGAGTTGAATGACTTTGAAGACATTCTCCAGAGGGGTCTTATTCACCACATAAAGCGGCAAGGGGCTTGGCTCTCATGCCCCAGGGAGCATTTTTACATTTGTAGTCTCTAGGCAGAGTCCTGTGAAAAAGGTGAGGCTTGGCAAGAAGCAATATGTTTGAGGTTTTACGGCTCACGGGAGTAGGAAGTCTAGAAGGAGAGGGGAATGATCCTCTTTGCCCATCCCTGCCATGTAGAGTGGCCCCTTACAATGGAGGGGGCCCTGGGCTGCCATCAGCAGGGCAGGAGTCATAGCCTGTCTGAGGCCAAGGCTGGGAGCCCAGGCCCCCTCCAGCAAGAGGGTGGGGAGTCTCCTTTTCTGCAAGGCCCACCTCAGGGCTGCCCTCTGGACCCCAGGCACACACTCCGAGGGCTGGGAGCAAGGAACAGTCCCCACAGAAGTGGTGAGGCTAGGGAAGAGCAGAGGACTGGCGAGAGCTCATCCCCTGCCCCAGAGAGTGTTGGGACCACTGTCGGGGCCTGTGCACAGCCAGAAGAGGGCTCAGGCCCCATAGCTGTTAGCCCAAAGTCAGTAGGCTGGGCTAGGGACTGTCCAGAGGTGCCAGTCTGTGCCCTGAGTCACCATCATCACCGACCACAGGTGTGGGCAGCCACCCTGCCTCCTACCTGTAGCACCTCACAGTCACAACAGCCCGTTGGGAGTGAGTTTTTGAGCCTACGCACCACATGAGGGCAAGGCTGGTGAGTGGTTGAGCCAGGAAACAAACCAGGCTGTCCTGACCATGCCGGCCTTCTCAGGGAACTTGTCTCTGTACCAGTGCTGAGTTCTGGCTTCCTGCCCATTCCTAGCTCAGTAATGCAGTCCCTGTCTTCCTACCTTAACAAGCCAGAAACCGAGGAGATGTGCTTGCTTGTGTCCTGATCTCCCTGCTCAGTCCAGCAGCACAAACTGGGGTCCGTGCCCTGGGACCCTCTCCTTTTCCTTCTCATTCTGCGCCGTGCAGCAGTGTCCTTACCCTACATAGCCTCATGGGGATCTTGTTAGGGTAACAATCAGACTGAGTCTCCCTGCCTGGCACCCTGACCCCTGGCTTCCCACTGCAGTAAGAATAACACCAGATTCCTCACCCAGCCCAGCTAGTTCAGCTCTGGTCACCTCCCCGCATTCCCATGGTGGGGCTTCTGCCATGTTCTCCCTCCTGCCCTCTCGGGTCTGGCTTCTCCTCCTGAGTTAGCTCTTGGCTTCCATAGTGCCCCCAGGGAGCCCCCCCGACTGCATCCTGTGTGCAGAAGCCCAACATGACGACCAGCTTCTGCAAAGTCCTTAGCAGCTCGCACAGTCCTTTGTCTGTGTCTGCAGGGTCACGGTTGTGTCTGTCCTGTAAGCCATGTTATCCCTGGGCCAAACACCGCACCTGGCTCAGTAGTGATCAGGGAGTACTGAGGCTAAATGCAGGGTGGACTGAGCCTGCACTGGGAGCCCAGCTGACTCCTGACCTCACAGAGAGGTCACGGGGTGGCCGGGAGGCTCCAACATGGTCTCTAAAACCTGGCAAGTGCTCCATACATGTAAATAAGCCACCGATTCTTTGCCCTGCCCTCTCTCCCAGGCCTTGCCCCATCTGTGGTCTCAGTGCAAGGGCTACAGCGGATCTGGCTCTCGTCCACCTCGCTCTCCCATGGGAAGTGGTTGACTGAGATGCTGGGGAGGGAGGGCCGTGCCCTAGACAGGCCTGCGTCCATCCTGCCCACTGCAGCCTCTCAGCCTCAGCAGGAGAAGCCCCCTGACAGGGCCAGTACCGGTGGGCACTGGGTGTGGCCCTGACTCCCTGGTTTTCTGGCGGCAGGCAGCCAGCCTCCAGGCTGAGACCTTCAGGCCCTGGCTGAGCACACACTCAGATTAGACAGACGGGAGTGTCGCGGGCCTTACTCCTGCTGCAGGCGTCCTTCTGTCCTTACCGATCACAGGTCATGTGTTAGACATGACCCACTTGATAGCAATAGTGCTTGACGCTATATGTTAACCATCTTTAAGTGTATAGTCCAGTGGCATTAAGTACACTGATATTGTTGTGCAACCATCACTACCATCCATCTCCAGAATTTTCCATCTTCCCGAACCGAAACTCAACCCATTCAACACTAACCCCCCCATTCTCCCCACCCCCAGCCCTGGCAACCACCACTCTACTCTCTGTTTCTATGAATATGGCTTTTTTAGAGTCTACACATAAGTGGAATCATGCAGTATTTGTCTTTCTGTGTCTAGCTTATTTTACTTAGCATAATATCCTGTGGGTTTATCCACGTGGTAGCATATGTCAGGATTTCCTTCCTTTTTAAATCCTGCCATTTGCGACCTTGAGGACATTATGCTAAGTGAAATAAGAAGTCACAGAAAGACAAATACTATATGATCCCACTTATATGTGGAATCTAAAAGAAAACATATTCATAGAAACAGATAGATTGGTGGTTACCAGGGGCTGGGGGTCGGGTGAGGGTGATGGGTGAAGGTGGTCAAAAGGGTGCAAACTTCCAGCTATAAGAGGAGTAGGTTCTGGGATCTAATGGACAGCATGCTGCCTATAGTTAACAATGCTGCCTTGTAAATTTGAAAGTTGCTAGGAGAGTAGATCTTAAAAATTCTCACCACACACACACAAACACTGGTAACTGTGTGAGGTGATTGTGGTAATCATTTCACTGTATATACGTACATCAAATCATCACATTGTACACAATGTTATGTGTCAATTATATCTCAGTAAAACTGGTAAAAACAAAATAAAACCACTTTGAAAAAATTATTAAAAAAATAATTTACTTTCTTTTTACGGCTGAATAATAATCCACTGTATGTATAAGGTGTGATCAAACAATATGGTGAATGTTTAAATTAAAAACATTTATTACAGCAAAAGACACATTGCCATTAATCCTCCCAAAATACTCCCCCTCGCTTCAAACATGCTTATCCCATCGTTCTTGCCACTTTCTGAAGCAGTTCTGGAAGTCCTCTTTTGTGAGTGTCTTTAGTTGCGCTGTCGTGGCTGCCTTGATGTCCTGAATCATTTTGACTTTGGGCAGAGCCAGAAGTCACATGGTGCCAGACCCGGTGAATAAGTTGGATGAGGACACAATGTAATGTTTTTATATTTGACAGAAATTGCCACACCAGAAGCCATGTATGACACAGAGCCTTTCCATTGTGATCACAAAATACGGTGAATGCTGCTGCCGAGTGCCATCCAATGGAAAGGCAGGGATCTTCAACACAGGAAGCGGCATGTCGAACCTCAGTAACAGTGTGTGACAAGTTTCAGCTTGTTCAGTGCAGTCAGTTGGGTGTGAGCTACGGTTGAGAGAAAGTGTGTTTTAAAGTGTGCTGTACATCATCCTCCATCATGACAACGCTCCGTGTCATACATTGTTTCTGCTGTGGC